GTATGTCCACATCTTAATTTACCTATTATTCTTTAATTTCTCCTATTTGTTCTTGAACTTCTCATTTCACCAAGCTTCCTTTGCATTCTGTAAAACCATCATCCTTTCCTTTCTTCCTCCCACTGCTTTTGCCACCTTTCCTTCAGTCTCTGTTTAATAATACTCTTCACTTGTCATGATTTGGTATTATTTAGTTTTGCATTTCGGGGGTTTAGTGTTTCTTTATGTTCAAGTATGTTTTGTTCATTCTTGAGTTCTGTGTGTCTTCAGTGTTTCATGTATTTATTTTATAGTTGTCCTCAGTGTTTCTTGTGTCCATTCCTTCCTCTGTGTGTTTCCCTCCATGCCCTGATTGTCTTCACCTGTGTTATTAGTCTCACCTGTGTTTGATTACCCCATGTCTATTTAGTCTCTGTGGTTCTTCTCATCTGTGTCAGTTCATTGTTGTTTGTATGTCGTTCATTGGTATGTCAGTTTTTGCTCGTGCTGCTCTGTGGCGCCCTGTTTTTGATCCCTGTGTTTTTTGTTGAGTCTTGGAAGCAAGTTTGCCTTTGGCCTTTTTTTGTTTGATTATAAAATACTTTTAGTTTATTCTACACTTGGGTCCACCTCTCCTTGTTTCAACACACGGAACCATGACATCACTTCTGTTCGACTGATGCTAACTGTAAAATCTACTTGAGTATTTAATGTAGCCACCTTGTCTGCCAATGAATTGCCTTTCATGCGTATTTGTGCAGGTACCAATAAAAACACAACTTTAAGACCCATCATTTGAATTCTGTATCATGTTTTTTTTTATTTCTATGAAAAGTTCTGGTCTGCTGTCTCAACAACTGTATTGTAAACTGATTAGTGATGAACTTGAATCTGAACAAATGACTGAACTCAATTGTATCTATCTGTCGTGATTTAGTTTTACTTGGTTTTGCATATTTTCCGTGTTTAGATTTTCTTGTTTTACTTCTCGTTCTTCCCTGATGTTGCTTGTTTCCCTTGTGGGTTTCTTTCTCGTTATGTTTCCTAGTTTAGTCTTTAGTGTTTCCGGTTTTTATTTTGTAATGTCTCTTTGTTCTAGCTTGTTTTGTTACATTCTTGAGTTCTCTGTGTCTTCAGTGTTTCCTGATTTACATTGTAGCTCTTGTCCTCACTGTTTCTTGTCTTGTGTTAATTCCTGCCTGTGTTTCCCTCCAGTCTTGATTGCCCTGATTGTCTTCACCTGTGTCTAATTAACCCTGTGTCAATTTAGTCTGTGTTCCTTCCCCCAGGGTCTCCAGTGCTTACCAGTTTTTGACTGTTTGTGGGGTTTTTTCAGTTTGGACTTTTTGTTAAGATAATATGATTTTGTTTTGCCTTTTTGTTTAAATATGTGTTTAAAAAATAAAATTACTTTGGTTTTCTGTAATTGGGTACATCTCCTATGTTTTTCCACATTGGATTATGACACTATGCACTGTACTACTATAATAGTGCGATCATTTCCCCTGTGGAAACTGATAACCCCTCACTGATTCTCTCCCAACTTTGACATGAAAGCTGTGGAACAATACATTTTCTTTGGACTGTATTGCCATCTGGCATCCAAAAACGGTGCGTTGCTGCCATCTGCTGGAATTAACTGTCCCTCACATTTCTAAATCCTCAACAGACCTGTTCTCAAAAGATACTTAAACAGGCATCTTTGGCCTCTGCCTCTTTCACCACACTCCAAAATACTTTTACTTACTGAAACACTGTTCATGAGCAAACAGGAGCAGGAATACGAAAACTTATAATACCTGCCCCTTTCCTAATAACACAAGATAGTGGCCGTTTCTGAATATCCACAGTTCAGTAGGTAGTACTTTTCAGTAGGAGTTTCAGTATACTGAACATTCATGGTCATTCAGTGGTCATTTTTTGGGTCCACCTCAGTATACTGAACATTTCAGTATGGATACTAACTTCCGGGTTTCATGCAGTATGGATCGGATGCGTGCTTTCAGGAAATGAATTGTATTTTACCACCCACAATGCTGTGCGAAATTAAACGTAAATCGTCACTTCACGTCCGCCTCCAAATCAAAACAAACGAGCGTGGATTAATTTAATCAATTTTTAATCTAGAGTTAAAGTCCAGACTAAAATCACTACTTTTAATTAACAACAGAAAATATAACAAATATCTGCATTATTATAAAACCTTTTCCCTCTATTTAAATGCGTCTTTATTTGTTTATTTTATTTAATATTCTGTATATTACTGTCTTTCATTTGTACTTTCCTTTATGTACTGTATGTTATTTAGTTATTTAATCTGTTTTTTACTTGATTTACATTGTGATATTGTTTTTTGTTTACCTGACTGTATATGCGCATTACTCTTCTAAACAAAAAAAACAAAACAACGGGTGAATGCAAACTCCATGTACATCTGACTGTTCTTCTCTCCCAGCCTCTAAAATGCTAAACCTCGGGCACAAGGTCATATGCCTTAAGCACAGCTGACTTTATCGTAACGTAGCTGGAGCTGTCTTCAAAACTCAAAGAAGAATATGCATTTTGCGCCTTCCCTGTGAGAACAGACTGAAGCATCAGCGCGCAGTCAGCATCGGGCCAACATCTTGCTCCAGACACACGTTCAAACAACAAGAAAAAGTTTCCTGGGTCCTTTTCATTAAAGCGTGGTAAGATTAACATCAAAGCGTTGCACGGAAGAGCCATGGATCCTGTGCGCCCTGCCCCTCGCCAGACAACATGCCATCCCTTACCAAAGACAAACGAAACTCCTCCAAATCTACAGCCTTCTCACCCCCAACTCACACATACTCCGTGCGCGCCGCGGTCCGTCAGCGCCACGGTTTTGCTCCGTCAGACGGCTCGCGCCCATTCACACTGGATCCGTTTCTGGGACGTTAGCGCAGCGGAGCGCAACCATGACACATCACAAGAGAACTACAAGATCCCGCGGGAATAAAGAGAAAAACATGCAAACAACATGTTGCTTTGTCTTTCTGAGGATGCATTGTTGTTAATTCAGTTCCTGTTTTGAAGGAATGTTGATAAAGTGATGAAAAATACGATCACGAGTCCGTATACTGTGTTTTATTTTGAAATTGACCGGATGCTCTGTGCGTTTCCTTGTCAGACTTCCTGTCCGGGCTGTCATATTCTGTCCAGCTTGACGCGTGCCTGCAGCGTACTCCGGTGGAAATAGACTCGCTGCGTATTTGAAACGGAGCAGAGCGCAGTGCCGTCGGTGGCTTGCGCCGGAGACGGACCGCAGCGCGCCCTGTGTGAACACAATGATTGACTAGACTGGCAGCTAAGTACAACGTAGTGCGCGGCGCTGACGGACCGCGTGCGCACAGAGTATGTGTGAATTGGCAGTTAAGACTGTTGACGGATTTGCTCGAGCTCAAGCTGTTTCTTAATTTCTAATTCCCATTTATTTCTGTCATGTTCCATCTGCATTAAAAAAATCGCATTTATCGCTGACTTAATGTTGTCTTTAACACGTTTGTCAATAAACAATTTGATTTCAGACATTTTAATTACAATTTATGTAACAATGAACCGGAGAAGAAAAATAAAAAATTGTCAACTTTGTGCACACACAGAAACCAGCAGACACAGAGACACTAACCCGTGAACACTCCTCAATCCAATGTGGATTTCCCCGACTATCTAAACATAAACCCAGCTACCTAAACTCGACCCTATTGCAGCTGCAGTGGTGGGTATTTATGCACTGGTGACGCTGGCTCAGTTGGGTGACAAGCAGGCTAGCAACCTTCCCGAAACCACAGACATGCTCCCAAGCAAAAGCTTCACCCACGTTCACCGCACTCCTAATTTATCCCCGCACAACGAACCCATATGAGGAACGTCGCTTCAGCCTACCAGGGGAAAACACCACACTATATTACCGATTACGCACAGGAAACTGTCAAGTACCAGCCAGCAGCCAAAACAATAAGCAGCTGACAAACAAACTCTCTCGCAACGTCAAGGTAAGAACAAACAATCCACAAAGCTACAAACAAATCACTTAACTTACCCTGCACTGTTATCCCAAATAGGCCGTCCTTTCCAACAAACAAACTCCTGCTCATACATGAGCCGACAAAAGTTTTACCGCGAACAGGTCCACCACACAACAATAGACTCCTGCGCGTGCAGCGAGCGCTCCAACATTACGCACACAGAATCCAAAAAAGTTTGAAACACAAAACTCCTCAAATTAAAGCAAAAACTTGCTTAAAGATAAATTAAAGTTAATTTGAACATTTAAGATTTTATTGAGCCAAAAAAAATTATCCAAACGAACCACCAAATTAACTGATCAACCAAGTACCAATTACCAAACAAACTTTCTTACCCAAGTCACGGCACAAAAGAGAAAAAGGCGGACGAGCCCCCAATTTGTCATAACCTGGCTTCATGGCCATGACAAATATGAGAAAGAACAACTTGATTTAAGATTTAGTTTTATTGATCCCCGCAAGGGGAAATTTCTGTTTTTACACTCTGTAAGTCATGAACACACACATGCAGAAACAGGATCCTATGGACATGCACTAATGGAGAGATGTCAGAGTGGTGGTGGGGAGGGGGTTTGGTACCTTACTCAAGGGCACCTCGGCAGTGCTCAGGAGAGTGATCTGGCACCTCTCCAGCTACCAGACCAACTTCCATATTTGGTCCGCACCGGGTTCTTGAACTGGAGGTTCCCAACCCAAGTCCCTACAGACTGAGCAACTGCCGCCAAATTGAGGTAACAATGATTTATTTGAACAACGCACCCACAACCATAGCACAAACAAACATAGAATGAATGTCAATGTTAGGGGGAAGAGAGAGAGAGAGAGTCCACACTGGGGTCGGGCTTTTATGCCCTGCAAGCAACAGGCCCAGGTGCTCTAGATTGGACCATCCAACTCCTCAAGAACTAGGGGGACAGAATCAATTAGTAATAGACCCTTTTACAGTCGACGTCATCAAATAGTTGCGTGCGCATTTTGGCAACGGAAGTGGTGTTGTTCCCCAGTCATTCTGACTCACACAGACGAGGTAGCAACTGGTTAGCAAGCATTTAAAAGTGTTTCCAGCATCAAAATGTCTGGTTGTTGCGTATACGGTTGTCAGAATCGATATTCCACCGGCGGACTAAAGTTTTATAGGATTCCGACAGGATCACGACCATTTCAGAGCAACCGGTGGCGTCTGTGGCTGCAGGCGCTTCAACATGTTGACTGGAATGAGGACATGATCAAAAATGCTCGGGTCTGCAGCGCCCACTTTATATCAGGTAAGGTTATCTATCTACTCTTGGATTTTATGGAAAAGCCTGGTTTACATTAGTGATTGTCTGTACGATGTAGAATAATAATCAAATGCAGCTAAAGTTTGATAAGCTGGCGTTAGTTTTGTCTAGTAGGCTAAACAAACGTGTTTGTGTCATTGCTGTTGTTGTGTGCATGTCCCTTGCTGTAAACTCGTCGTCATTGTAAGTGAGAGAAACTTCGATGCCCTACGAGTGTAAATAAATGTTTGAAATGATGAAATTAAATGAAAAAGTGTGTTTTATTTGCAGGTGAGGCGTCATTGGACTCTAGTAGTCCTGATTTTGTGCCTTCTGTGTTTATGTACACAAAACAAAGCCAGAACCCCGATGCAAAGATGGACAGGTAAGATTAGAGTTGCCCTCCTCTCAGTCGTTTTTTAGTTTCTTTTCCTCTCTTGCATAAGCTTTGGTGCCTACAGCTGCTGTTTTGAGATATGGATCAGTCTAACTGTAAATTTCTGCTTTTTTTTTGACTGTAGGTACCATAGGAAAAGGAGGAGAGATGACAGACCTAACACTGCAGCAAATCAACCTGTTCCTTCTGAAACTCCAGAACAAGAATGCAGCATGGATCATTGTTCTGGTATGAATATATTTCATCTTACAATTAACTGATTGATTGTCAGGGTTCCCACCGTCATGCAATTCCAGGAGAAGTTATTACATTAGAACAGTTTTCCAGGCCTTGAAGTGGTTTTGGAATTAACTATGTTTATGAAAAGTTTTTAATACACATTATTTTTGGGTATTGTTTCTCCCACGCCTCACCTCCTCCTCATCCTCTCTTATTCTTCCCCTCTTACTCCTCCTCTTTTCCTGTTCTCCTACTCTCCTTGTAATTATACTACAATATAGGCCTACCTATTTCAAACTCCTAAGTATAATGGAAACATCATGGACTGAAAGAGTCAGTGTGCTCCTAGTGTGTGTGTGCTCCTGCCAGGCACACTGCTCCAATTGCATATGTATGTGTGTATGTGTACACTGGCCCCTGGATGGGTCAAATGCAAAGGAAAAATCTCCCCCTGGGATCAATAAAGTATCTTCTCTTCTATCATGGAAACGTTTTGAAAATTCATTGGTAAAAATGTGTGAGAACCCCTGGATTGTGAACTTGTCTGCATTGGTTGCAGCGCATGCTAATTTTTCACTTTTGTATATTAAAGAGGATATCCCAGTTCCAAAGAGAGAGTACGATGATCTGAACCTGAGACACAGTCAACTTCAGGAGGACTATGTCAACCTGCGACAGGAGTTTGACACACTACGAGCTGAAAATGTAAAGCTGAAAGAGGAGCTGCAAAAATCTACATTTTCCTACACCACTGTCAAGTGCAACATTGTACAATTAATTTTTCTCACAGGACTGACCTCCGTGGTCTTCGAGTGGCTGCTTACAAAAATAACGGACAGCGTAGAAATAATATGCAAAAAACTTACAGTAGAGGACCACCTATTGGTTATATTGATGAAATTAAGGTTGGGCCTATCTAATACTGACTTGGCATATAGATTTAAGGTATCAAAAACCGCCATATCAAGTATTTTGCGGAGCTGGGTCCCTGCTATGGCCTTGATCCTCAAGCCACTCATTAAATGGCCAAGTAAGGGGGCAATACTTAAAAAGATGCCAGTGCATAATAGATTGCACAGAAATTTTCATAGCTAGACCCAGTAATCTGACTTCCAGGGCCCAGACATGGTCAAATTATAAACACAACAACACCATTAAATATTTGATCGGCATCACTCCAGCTGGTGCAATTTCATTTCTGTCTCCTGGGTGGGGTGGACGGGTTTCAGACAAGCAGATCACTAAAGAGTCAGGTTTCTTCAAACTTTTGGAGCCTAAGGATAAGGTTTTAGCAGACAGAGGCTTTCTCATCAGAGACAAGCTTGCGGCTTATGGTGCAACCCTTCGTATCCCTCATTTCACAAAAGGAAAAAAGCAGCTTTCTACACAGGAAGTGGACACATCTAGACAACTTTCTCGTGTGAGGATCCATGTGGAACGAGTTATTGGTCGGTGGAAAAACTTTAAGATTCTGCAAACAGTTATTCCAGTATCGCAGGTTAACTTACTAGATGATGTTGTGACTGTATGTGGTGCCCTCTGTAAGAGTGTTGTTCCCAAATGAGTTGCACATAAGCATGTATGAGTTAGAAAGTGATTTCCATTTGTTAAACATGTATTTACTGTACTTAAAACTTAATTAATTATAATAAACCTCCCAACATTGGCTGCCGCTGGTGTGTCTAATGGTCCTTTTCCCCCCAGATTCTCTCAATAATTCAGAGTGCAGTATCACTTTTATTTGTAATAAAATTATTAACAGAGTATACAAACAACATAGGTGCCATTAAAGTGTGATTAAACATTAACAACATGGAAAGTAGGAGTATGTACAATATATTAGAATCAAACTGGTTCCGTATGTTGTAAACAGTAAATAATAATTTTAGGTCGCAAATTATTTCTATGGATACATATATAGCATTACAGAATAAAACTTTAAATGTCTTGTTGCACTGAAGTGCATCTACACACAGCAGTCAATAACAACAACATAAAATGTAAGTAAAAGGCTGTTGATTTATTTTATTTAACCAGAAAAAAGTCTCATTGAGATTAAAAATCTCTTTTACAAGAGCGTCCTGGCCAAGACAGGCAGCAGCTCAATTACAGGGTTTCAGACATAAAACACTTAATAACAATTAACTTAAATTGATGAATTCATTGTTTCAAACACTTAACAACAATGAACATAAATTGATAAATTGATGAATTCATTGTTTCAAACTTTAATAAATGTAGGTCTGGGTGATATGGACCAGATTCAGATTGATATTTTTTTCCCAAATACCTCAATATGGACGACTATTGGTGCTTTCACAAAACATTTACACAATGAGGTGTTTGATCTATAACAATCAGTACTGTGGATATAATGACTAAGTGGGTAAAGGCAAATAATAGAACAGAACAGTCTGGTAGGTTCAGAACATGACATCATTTAACTGTAATGCAACTTTTACAACCAGGAAAAGACAATCCATATCTAACATCTAAGCCCATATCTGGTCTCATATCACAATACAATACATTATATTGCCCAGTCCTAAATGAAGGCATTCAAGCCTCAACTCTCAGATATTTCCTACATAACCATTCTGCTGGCTTCCTTTGTATTTGTGCACAGCTGTAGTGAATGTGGTTGTTGCATTTGACACAGATTATCATTTTTCCAAAATCTGGCCTTTCACAGTATTCACAGGGTCTCTTTGTCACCAAGACAGGGTCATGTCTTCTTCTCAGTAGTTCAGGCAACAAACTCGAGATAAAGAAGTCATGTGCTTTTGGCAAAGCCTACTGCAGAAACTCTTAATTTCTTAGAATATTGCACAATGAACTCCTCCTTCGTCCACAACACAAAGTCACAGTAGCTAACACCACACACAAACATGTGAAGTTGAGTTTGATAGTAGTATGTGTGTGAATGTTTCAATGAGAATGACTTGTCCAGACAAAACTGTTTGTCTTCTGTACATCCTTGAAGGCTATTGCGGTATTTGTAGGGACACTTTATCTCTACCACCCCTTTGCCACAGCAGGTACATCTTGCTATCCCATCTGGCGATGATCCAAGGTGTGGCTCAGAAGGTTTCACTACCAAGCCACATGAGCTGATGCTGAAATCTGGATGGCTTTGGGACATAAATGCAGTGTAGGCTTGTCTTGCCGTTTCCTCCATGTTTTGACCCCAGAGCACAGATGGGACATTTAACTGTGTTTTGTTGTACTGCATCATATCATTTAGGTATGTTTTGCTCATCTTGTCAGTTGTGGTCGCATGGTGAAATTTGGTACTTGTGATCCGACCAGCCCTATAGGTGTGCCACTCCTTTGACCTCGACTGTTGCCGTGTCACAAATTCCAGTTTCTCACATTGATGAGGTTGTAGTGTAGTTTTTAGTCTGTGAAATATATCCTGACATTTTACCTGCATTTTCTGTGGTGAGAGTTCCCTAAGTGTTGCATCAAATAAAGCAGTCAAGGGCTCAGGTAAGTCTGGATGCTCCTCTGAATCAGGGTCAGATGATGCAGTGTCCGTGTCACTATTTTCCAGACTTGTCAGCACTGCAGCACCTGGGTCCACAACCTGCAGTTCCCGGATGTCATCATCTGTCAACACTGATAATAGAGAAACCAAAATACACAATTATTGTGCTGCATAATGTTCACATTTTAAGAATACTGTGTTAAACAAACAGAGTTAAAGCAACGCTTAATAAACAGCTTTGCGGTGTAATTGTGGGTCTTTTGATGGTTTTAGAGGGTTGAAGGGGTTCACACACAACACCTGCCATGCAGTGTGTGTCTTTGCATGAGCTTTAGCTTTGTTGGACATAATATCTGATGAGGTTATAGTTTCCTGCTTATTCATTGATGACTCAGACCCACTGAAGGAACCGTCCCACTTACAGTCCAGAAATTTGATGTACTTTTGATGTATATTTTAAACATCATCCAACTTGGTCATACATATGGACAAGTGTCAAGGATGAGACTTACAGTTTAATGCAGCTTGTACTACATCATTGCTACATCACCAATGTGGTTACATTAATGTTCATGATCAGTGTGTATGGCTGTAAGATTTCGCAGCAATTGCTTTCACGCATGTTCCACGTGCTTTGGAAAATAATTTTCTTTCCTATGATGTCTTGATCAGGAAATCCTTGTCAGCGGGCACGCATCGGTTGATTTATCCACAAAGGTCAATCAGACCCATGTCATGCTGGCCACATGCCGGGTTAAACGGACTCCAGACAGGCCAAGCCACATGACTGCAACTTAAATCATGACGGGCCACTTGTCAGGTCACGGATCCTAGACAAGCCGAGTCATATGACATCATTCAGGGCATTCATTTAGTATAGGCGCTGCACAACGGCAGCGGTTCAAGGCATCACGTCCTCTTCTCTCAACAACTCGGGCGATGGTCTACCCTGCCTTTAAGTCCTTTATTTGTCCAGATATCAGTACGAGTTTGGGAAACCAAAGATCCCTTAAATCCTAACTACTGGTAAGAAACTCATATAACTGGTGGTGGTGAGTATTATGGTCATTCTAATAGGTGACTGGTCCCTTAAACCATAACTACCACAATCAATTAAAAAATTGGACTACCACAAAACCATCACCATATCCTCAACTCTGACAGCCTGGTGGAAAACTCATAATATCACCAAGTCATCACTATCACCATGTAGATACACCCCAATATGGCATAACCCAGACTTCCAGCTACGCAACACCCCCATCTACTTCCCATCATGGCAACAAAAAGGAATCACTCACCTCAATCACCTATTTCAAAACAATCAGTTTATGTCACTCAACACATTAATCCAGAAGTACGGGATTGGGAGGGACCAGTTCCTACAGTATCAACAATTAAAATCAATAGTCAAATCCAAAATTAATATAACTAACAACACTCTGCAACCCTCCCAACTTAGCGAAGAAATCATGAAAATCAACAGTTCAAATAAAATCATCTCTAAACTTTATAAACTTATAGCCACATCAACAACCTCCATTACACCCCCCAAAATGGGAAAAGGATCTGACGCTGCCCCCCAACCCTGACTTCTGGATACAAATCAATAAAAACATCTTTTCTATGACCAATAATACTAATTTACAACTTATACAATACAAAACCATCCACAGGACACACATCACTCAAGGTAAAATGTTCAAAATGGGTTTAGCTAACACAGACATCTGTCCACAATGCACTCATGATTTCACAGATGACTATCTTCACGCCACTTGGGCCTGTCAACCAGTTCACTCATTTTGGATCACAGTCACTGAAAATCTCTCCACTATCTTGGGCTGCAGAGTCCTCCCATCCCCATTACTTTGCTTACTTGGAGACACATCACAAATCACCATCCCAAATAACTGCAAAAACACTACTCATTTCTCTAACTATCGCCAAGAAAATCATCTATCAGAACTGGAAATCGAAAAGATACTGCCACATAACTCACTGGACCAACCTACTCACAGAACACATTGTAATAGAAAGAATCACAGCCTGCAACAATAACAATATATCAGCCTTTAATAACACCTGGAATCCATTCATAATTCACCTAAATCTCAGAAAAATCATACCTCAAACCTCTCTCCTTTAATGTTGACACATATATATATATTTGTTTTTCTCCCCTCTTTCCTCTTCCTCTCAATTATCTTAAATTTTGTTGCTATTTATTTTTCTTGCTACTTCCCATTCAGCCACTCACTTTAATGTATTATACTGCCACACACACATTCACACGCTTCTTATACACTACTTCAACTTACTACTTGACTTTTATTATATCTACTTCAATTGTATTTGTCTTTGCTAATGTTTGCGTATTTTGATTTTGTTTTGTTTATTTCTGTTTTGCCTGTTTTTGTTTATTTGCCGTCGCTTTAATTGTCATGTCTATGTGTACTTGTTCACCTTAGCACAATAAAAAAAAAAAAAAAAATAATAATTTAAACGCTGCTGCTCGCTTACAAAACAGCGACAAAAACGGCTCTTCCTTACTTTAACTCTCTCAGCCAGGTCTACACTCCCTCCCGCCCATTACGCTCTGCCAATGAAAGGCGTCTGATCCAACCTTCACAACAGGGTCCTAAGTCTCTGACTAGACTCTTCTCCTCTGTCGCCCCCCGGTGGTGGAATGAACTTCCAAACTCCATTCGATCTGCAGAGTCCCTCTGCACCTTTAAGAAAAAAGCTAAAGACCCAGTTCTTTCCTGAATACCTACTAACTTAATGATGATGGTCTCCATATTATTGATGATGATGATGGTAATGACGATGGTTTTTGTTTGATAACAATGACTTATAAGATGGTTTCTATACTGATTAGAGCTCTCAAGAACTGCCGTCAATGTTGTGCTTTGCCTCTGGTCACTTCCTGTCAGCACCTGTGTGTCCAATCAGACTCAAAGCTGATCGTTTGCTCTTACTGACATTGTTCCCTTTTTTCTAGATCCTTGCTTGTGTTGTACTTACTCTCTGGATTCACTGCTAAGTGAATTGTAGATGAAGTAGATGGAGCAAAGTTAGGAGGAAAGGGGAATGTTGGAGAGAAATGGTGAGGAATGAGGTGGGTGGGACAGGAAAGGAATTTTGCGGTTCAGGCTTCTCTCCTTGAACTATCTGCG